GAGGGGGGGGAGGGGGGGTCTTGGCTCGATGCTGCGAGCCCAGGCGTCCTCGAGTCATGAGAAAATCACGGTGGAAGGTTTTTCGCTATTTTCGGCCTCCGGGAGCCATCACGGGGCCTCGGGACGGTCAGAAAACGACACGGGATGAAAAATTGGTCCCAGGGAATGGGTCCGGACCTCTGGGGGTCACGTCATGAAAAAATCATGACGTCGGGGGTCTGGGTCCCTGGCTGGTCTGCTGCGTCGGCTGGCTGGAGGTCGTCGTTTTTGTTCATTATTTTGCCGAATTGCGCGGGCCCTCGCACCCCCCCCCTCCCCGTGGAGTAGGTCGTAGCTGCTTTTGGCGCTGGTCTTCTCGAACAGGTGGAGGCTCCTCCATGGGACGCACTGCTACAAACAGTCGCACTCAGCAGAGGTCTGGAGCCAGAACCACCCCCACCCCCACCCCCTTCCGCCCAGCAGGAGGAGGAGGAGGAGGAGGAGGAGGAGGAGGAGGAGGAGGAGGAGGAGGAGGAAGAGGAGGAAGAAGAGTCAAGAAGACGTTGAGAAAGGGGGGTGGGAGGAGGAGGAGGAGGAGGAGGAGGAGGAGGAGGAGGAGGAGGAATACGAGAAGGAGAAAGATGAGCAGCGAGGGAGGGAGAGAGAAGCCTGCGGATAGAGAGGGAGAGAGGCCTTATCCTACTCAGCCATGTGCCAAGGATGCATGGCGGGCGGCGTTGTGATGGTAGGGGCAGGCCAGCGGCTTGTTTTTGTTCGAAGCTTTGGCACGAGAGCTACACAACATCGCCCACGTTACGACAGCATCTGATTATTTCAGAAGGGAGGTAACGAGGAGGACGGGGGGCTGCGCGCATTGGGGCATGGTATTATTTTTCTCAGTGCGATCAAGATGGGTACGGAAAGAACGGGGGCGACGACTGACAGCAGTCCTTGTCCAATTTGAACGGCACTCGTTGTCGGTGTCACCACGGACGTTGTTCATTTCAGACTGAAAGTCGCCTTCCCAACAGTGGCCGCTGTTGATTTTGGACAACTCTTGCTGTTGGGTATTGTACCTACTGTTTTCCATACCCGTTCTGGGCGACCAGACTTTCGCATGCCCGCGCCGAGGTCCAGCAGTTCGACGGCAGGTCCTTGCCGCTGGAGAACAAGAGCGTAGATGTGGCTCCGCGCACACCACTTGAGCGTGTTGGCGACGGCGATGCCGATGATGTCGACGACCGCGATGACGACGGCGGCGGTCGTCGATGTTCTCACTTCTGCTGCGCCCGCTCCCGTATCGAATGGGTGCAGTGTGGGCGGCTCTGCTTTCGTGGAGGTCCCGCGCTGGGTTGGCTGATGGACCGTGGACCTGGGCACTCCGCACCCCTGCGCCACAGCTCGGGTGCGAGCAGGCCGCGAGATTTCACTGAAGACGTGAGCAGTCCCGCTTCTGCTCCCTACCCGGAGGCCTCCAGAAGCCGCAAGGGCCAAGCACGCCCGGAGACCTCGGTGCTCTTTCCCCCCGCCGTCGTCTTCAGTTTTCCGTTGCGGGCCCCCCGCGGCGTGGCAGCACGGGCTCTTTGACGGCCTCGCGAGGTCCGCAGCGGCCAGACCCACCGGACCTCTCGCTGTGGAAAAACCACGAGGGCAGGTTTTGAGCAGTGTTCTGCCGCTGGGGGCCTTTCCGGGCCCTGGGACCGTCAGAAAAAGCTTGGTGATGAAGATCCTGCCTCGGTGAAGGAATCCAGATCTGGGGACCCACGGTGTGAAAAAATCACGACATCAGAGTTCTGGATCTCGACCACTTCCCCCAGCGCCAGATTTTCATCCCGAGTCGTTTGTGACAGCTCCGAGGCCCGAACCCGGACATCCAGCGTCGTGACTTAGGTCACGGTGTGGCTCCCGCAGAGGTCTGGACCCCTTCCTGGGCACAGGCTTTTTGGGACGGTGCCGCGGGGCCCAGCAAGGGCCCTAGAGGCTGAACATTGAGGAAAATTGTCCGTCATGATGTTGCTCCACCACGCGAGGACGTCAGGGACACCGGCCTCCAGAGGCCAAACATACAACAGGCCGGCCGCCCAGATGTTTCCCGAGACATCGGGCGTCTTTCGGGGGATGCCGACATCCGGGAGAACGAGAGGCGCCAGCACTGAGCAAGACCACGGCGCCAGAGGCGCCAGGGGGGCCCTGCGGGATCCGCTTCTGTGAGGAGCAGGAACCCATGATCAATGGTCATGGCATGTGAATGTCTACAACGTACACATCTGCATGCATCCACACACATCTGCAGACATGATATTCGAAGGCTGCCCAACAAGCATGCAGCATCAATCCATTTGTCAGGCAGCATCCAAGATTTCCAGATCTGTTCGTTGTCCCACAGGGCCAGAGAGGAAGGGCCGAGGGCCGCTGGAAATTCCGCAATCCCCATAGCGTATCCTGAGCCACATGCCTCCCCTCCCCGTGCGCGGAGGTGTAAGTCGGGCCTGTCCCTCTTCAGGAGAAGTACATAGCACCCCGCAATTGCGGATAAGAGTGAGGGGGCGGGCGCGGGCGACGCGGACGTCGTTGAGCCGGCGGACCTCGTGGCCCCCACCTTTCCTGTCGATGGCGCTCTCCTCCTCCTCGTCCTCCTCCTCCTCCTCCTCCTCTTCCTCGTCCTCGTCCTCGTCGTCATCGTCATCCTCCTCCACCTCGTCCTCCTCTTCTTCCTCGTCCTCCCTCTCCCCCCCTCGTCCTTCCATCATCGTCCTCCCATTGTCGTCCACCCCCTCATCGGCCTCCATCCTCGTCCTCCCATTGTCGTCCATCATCATCATCCTCCCGCTCCTCCCCCTCCTCGTCCTCCTCCCCCTCCTCCCCCTCCTCGTCCTCCTGCTGTTCCTCCTCCTATTTCTCCACATTCTTCTTACGTCCTCTCTTCTTTCGCGTCCTCCTCGTCCCCTGTTTACTCCTCCTGCCTCCCCCTCCTTTTCCCAAGATGACGGCAACGCAATCCTTCTTTACACTTTATGCTCCTCGACTTCCCTGATCAAGGCAATTCGCCAGGGCAAAGTTGCTGGACGGGCTGGTGTGGATGCGCGGGGCTTGAAGAGGTCGTTGCGGGCGCAGGCGGCATGCAAAAATCCGCCGCCGCGCTTGTGCGGCATTGGTTTGTTCAGTGAACGTGGTTTGGGTCGCGGGTGGGTCGCGGGCTCTCCACCTCCACGTGGAAGGAATGCAAAAACAGCCCGCCGCAGACGCCGAAAACAAATGTCTGTACACTGAACGTGGAATTGGTCGCAGGTGGGCTGCGGGTTCTCCACTGGGGACGGATGCAAAAGATGCCCGCCGCAGGCGCCGAAACATTTGGTATGCACCCTGATCGTGGTCGCGGGTGGGCCGCGGGTTCTCCACCTGAAACGAATGCAAAAGATTCCCGCCGCAGGCGCCGAAAAGTGTGGTTTGTACCTTGAACGTGGTTTGGGTCGCGGGTTGGTCGCGAGTTGGTCGCGGGGTGGGTCGCGGGCTCTCCACCTGGAAGGAATGAAAAAAAAAACACCGCAGGCGCCGAAACTGGTGGTTTGTACCTTGAACGTGGTTTGGGTCGAAGGTGGGTCGCGGGTGGGTCGCGGGGTGGGTCGCGGGTGGGTCGCGGGGTGAATCGCGGGTGGGTCGCGGGTGGGTCGCGGGTGGGTCGCGGGGTGGGTCGTGGGGTGGGTCGCGGGTGGGTCGCGGGTGGGTCGCGGGTGGGTCGCGGGTGGGTCGCGGGGTGGGTCGCGTCGGGGTGGGTCGCGGGTGGGTCGCGGGTGGGTCGCGGGTGGGTCGCGGGGTGGGTCGCGGGGTGGGTCGCGGGTGGGTCGTGGGGCGGGTTGCGGGTGGGACGACGACAACAAACAACAACAAACAACAACGAACAACAACACAACAACAACAACAACAACAACAACAACAACAACAACAACAACAACAACAACAACAACAACAACAACGAGAATCCGCACCGCGTAATCCCACTTCAGCCACGCACCCAAGGACAGTGAATGACCGTTCGGCCCCCTCATTCTGATTCAAAATAGTAGAACAGCTTCCGGGGACGATGTTTGACAATTTTTGACAATTTTGTAAGATTTTTCGGTGTACCTTTTTATTTTCCGTCCCAAATCCCCCTGTAGGGGGACATGCCCGACTTCAGCCAAGGCGTAACAAAAGCGCACGATCATCCGATCTTCGACCTCGACAATCTCCTGCTCCGCCTCCCCCCACCTTCCCGCGTCGTGACACATATCACGGCTGATCTGTTTTGCCACATGTTCTGGCTTTGGCCTGTGACCCCAGAGCCGCCCAACACTGCCGAGGATGAAAACCTGGTCCTTGGCAAAGGGTCGGGACTTCTGGGGAAGCATCATTGCGACATGGTTGACGACGTCCGAGGGCCAGGTCCTCTGAAGGCCATGTTGGGCTAGAGGTTTCGGTGTCCAGCTCGGGGTGGTCTGGCGTCGTTGGTGTGCAGGTCGGCCCCTGGGAGCAGCAACAGGTGCCTCCAAAAAGGTTCTCCTCCTCATCCTCCTCGTCCTCATCATCATCGCGATTTTGTTCAAAGCGTGGGCCCCAGAGGTCTACCATCCAGTTTCCCCAGGGCCGGTTTCTCATCCTGGGCCGTTGAGTGGAGGGCCCGGTGAGGGCCTCCCCATAAGCCGAAGAGAGCCAAAACCTTGCCGTCGTGATTGTTGTTCACGACGTCGGGGGGCCTGGGCTGGGGAACGCAACTCGATCCCGAGACCCATCCTGGGGTGCGCTTTGGGTCAGAATCTCGAGGCGGATCCAGTCGCAGCAACGAGCCTCCTGGGTGACCAAAGATAGCAATTAACACGTTCCACCCCATCTTCCCTCGAGTTTCGACTCCTACCCCGACTCGACATGCCCCCCTCGGTCATGGACCGCTGCCTCCCCCTTTGTCTGCGATCCCGCGGGCTGTCCTCGGAGGGCCGCCTCGCCTCCACGGCTCGCCCCTCCTCTGCGGCGCGGTCCCCCTCTGCAGCCGCCTCGGCCCGGCGGCCCTATAGAGGCCCCTCGCTGCGCCCAGCGGCGCCGCCTGGGGGGTGGGCCAGGATCGGTGTTGGTGTATAGTTGGTGCCTTCCTATCCCCTGGCCTTCCAAAGTCCACAGGCCTCACGAATGGGGTCCGAGCAGGTGGGGTCGGCGGATCGCGCCGCATCGCCAGAGTGTCGGAAGTGCGGCTCTATGTGGGGCCGGACTTTCTCCGCGCCGACGGCGCCGATGTATCGCCGAGGTCGCCGAGGTATCGGCGATGCATTGGCGTTGCGGCGCGATCCTCCTACCCCATCCACTCGGACCCCCTTTGAGAGGCCTCCAATGTCGGGAACCGCCAAGGGGGTTCACCGGCGTGGAGGGTCACGGCCTCCTCTGTAAGCCTATGATCAGGGAGGATGAGTGAATCGAGTATCGAGGAACGTGTGGACTTTTGGAGGCGTCTGTTGGAGTCCTGGGGGCTTTTAGCAGATCGAGGAGGATGGGCGAATCGAGGAAGAACGCGTGAATTGAGGATCGAGGAAGTTGTGGGCGTTTTGGGGAATCGAGGATCGAGGAAGGTGTGGGTGTTTTGGGGCGTCTGTGGGAGTCCCGGGGGCTTCTGGGGGGGGGTCCTGCAGGCTTTGGGGGGTCCTGCCTGGAGGAGGTGGCGGCCACTTGGTGGTGACTGCCATTGGCACTGCCTAGTTTTACGTAGGTCGGGCATGTCCCTCTACAGGAGTAGTCAAAACTAGTCCAAACATAGTTTCGGGACGGTTTGTTTACTATGTTTGAACATGTGTTGTCTATGTTTCGTTTTCTTTCAAAATCCGCCTGTAGGAGGGCTTGCCCGACCTAAGCTTAGTTCCAGGGTGCAACAAGAAAACAATTGCCTTCCAGACCTGAACGCCTAATATCTTGAACGCCTGCGGGCCCGGCCTCGCGCGAAATTGCAACTCACAGCGGAAGGTCCTTCGTCATGTTCGTCGTCCACGGGTAGTCAAAGCAAGATGGATCGGGGTTCAAGAGACGGGGGTCCATGCAAAAGGGAGTCAGCCAGAGCGCCTGATCTTTCAGGATCCTGCATGGCCAGGGTCGCATTGACCCGGGTTTGGGTGCAGGATCTGGCAGGATCTTGCAAGATCTTTCGCATTGACCCGGGCCTGGGTGCAGGATCTTGCAGGATCCTGCAGGATCCTGCAAGGCCTGACTGACCCGGGTCTGGATTGACCCGGGTCAGACGATCCCCGAATGGAGCACACAAAACGAGCGTGTAGATCGATTGACGTACACGTGCGCACACTCGCGCGCGAGCGCTCAAAAGACGAGGTCGGCCTCGCGGATTGGGGGGCGGCATTCATGTGCGTGGACGTCTTCTTTGGGCTCGTGGGCTCCCCATCACAGGACCCCGAGGCCGTCAAACATCGACTCGGGATGACAAGCCTTATGATGTTCCTACCTACTTTAGCCTGGACCCCTGGAAGAATTTGGAGCACCAAGAAGAAAGGAAACTCGAGGGTTTTCGAGTGTCGTGCCCTGGGAGACACTCGTTCGACACTGTTTCGACACTGTTTCGATACTTGTTCGACACTTTTCCGGGTGCTCGAAGATATTTCTGGGACGTGGTCCTTACGTACGATGGGAACAGCATAACACAAGCCCGCCACAGGGAACTGGTCCAGCGTTGGTCCACGATGTGCCAAGCATCACGACGTCGGAGGTCTGGACCCGGAGTGCTGGCAAGTAGCCCTCCTCACGAAAAGACCCGCTTGGACCGCTTGCGGCTTCGACGGGCATCCTCCCCTTCGACGCTGCAATGTTGTCGTGGCGTACCCCCCTGGGGATCTCGCCTGAGTAGTTCTTCTGAGCGTCCCTGGGCCAGGAAAAAATTGATTCCGAGAGGTCGAAGGCGACGAACAATTTGTCGTTGCGATGTTGGTGCGAAGCCTGGGCGGGAGGCGGAATCCGAATTCAAGTGTCCTGGGGCTAATTTTACGTCGGGCCTGTCCCTCTTCAAGGGACACAGTTGCAAGCAGTACACAGTACGGGGACGACTACCTGAATAGGTTTAAGCCATTTTGGTGTATTGTTTGACATTTTTTATTCTTTAATTTTTTTTCGTCCCAAATCCCCCTGTAGGGGGACAGGCCTGACCTAAGGCTAATGTTGTATCCCTCCTGGAAGGTCAGGGTAGCTGCACCCCCCTCCCTCCGCGGTTCGCGCCCGCGGCGCCTGGCGGCCGCCGCGGCTCTCCGTGGGGATGTGGCCGGCCTCAGGCCGCCGCCTGCTGGCAGGGAGAGGAAGTCGTCTTCGGGCTTCTCGGCAGGCCGGTGAGGTTTCCAGGCCGGTTGGCAGGTGTTCCCGCCTCGGGATGCTTTCCGGCGGCTGCGCCTCGCCGTGGGCGCTCCAGGCATGGGCTGTTTTCCACCACCACCACCACCATAAGTTGGAGGGGGGAAGGAGGAGGAGGAGGAGGAGGAGGAGGATGAGGAGGAGGAGGAGGAGGAGGAGGGGGAGGAGGAGGAGGACCCCCTCCCACTCCAACTTATGGTGGTGGTGGTGGTAGTGGACAACAGACCCATCATCCGGGGTGGCCCGAGTCGTCCCGAGCGGCCCCGCCGGAGGCCCGATCCTGCGGCCCTATAAGCCCAGACCTCCCCGCGTCTGGAGCACGATCACGGCCTGAGGGTGCTTCGCGCCATTTTCTGCCTGCTGCGGTGATGTCCTTCTATACCTGGCCCCAGGACCGTCAACGGAACGGCTCGGGTTCAGGAGCCGGCCCTGGGGAGAGAGCGCTCTGGGCCTCCGGGGGGCCCACGTTGCCGAAGGAAGCACGACGTCGGAGGTCTGGGAAGGGGTCCTTAGGGAAACGGGTCACGGCGGCTTTTCCCCGTTCCCAGGCTCTCGGGGCTGTTGTTTGGGCCAGACGAAAGGGGGGGATTGGGAAAGGGGGGGGTACGAAATTTGCTGCATGCAGCTGGTTTCGGCCTCACCGAGGAGCCCATTCCTCGATACATAGCCGCCTCCGGCGCGGGGAGGCGCCGGGAAAATCAGCCACGTGAGCTGATTCTCAAACCCCCCCTTTGCTATCCCCCCCTTTCGCCCGACCCGAGGCTGTCCCCAGGACCCCGAGGCCGTCAACGCACGGCTCAGGACGAAGAGCCCGTCCCAGGGCGAGGCCCCGGGGTCCACGGCACGTTTCCCTCAGGGCCCGTGTCCTGCACGCCAGGGAGGGGAAGTCGAGGATTCGTGCCCTGTGCTCTGTGGGCCCCCTGGAGGCCTCGCCTCGCCGCGGCGGGGCCCGCCTCGAGGCCCTGGCCGGAGCGCACCCTGGGATGGGCCTGGGGGCGGACCTCTGATCCCCGAGGCCGCACCGTCACGCGTCGCTGGAGTACTCGGAGGAGGAGGAGGTGCCCGTACTGCTACAGTCAACCAGCACAGTAAGGATGGGCAACTTTCCCGAGGGTGCCCTCGCATCCTCGCATCCTCGGTCCATCCTTGGCCGCTCTCGCTGGCCAGCCTCACTGAAAAACACATGAACGTGGCCCTCCAAGGCCCTTGCATCCTCATCGCGCGTCCTTGCTATACGGGCTGACTGTACCCCTCCTCCGTCTTCCCTTCTGCTGGCCTCCCGGGAGGCCCTCGTCGCCTCCGCGGAACTCGCCTCGGAGTTCTGGACAGAGCGCACCCCTGGAGAGGTCCGGGGAGCCGCGGTATCGGTGCGTGCTGGTTTTCCCAGGCACACGCCCGGCGGCAGAAGACCGTAAACAGCGGTGTGGAGGTAAGTCGGGCTTGTCCCTCTACGGGAGGAAGATTCAAGACTAATAAGAATAGTCGGTGATGACTTTTCGACTATGTTTGACCATTTTTGGAGTATATGTTGGGGTACTTTAAATGTGTCTGCCAACATCCGCCTGTAGGGGGACACGCCCGACCTAAGCCTAGGCGATACTATCCTGGGGTATACGGCACCATCAGCCTAATCCCGTATGGCATGTGCTCTCCCCCATGCGAGCTACTGGGCGGGATCCGGCCTGGGCATGTTCCTGTGTGTCTATACGCTTTGCCCAATCAATTCCATGCGGTGCGACGCCAATTCTGGCCTGGTCATTGTCTTGTGTGGTTATGGTTGATGGACCCTGCGTCCATCCGATTCTTGAAGTACAACTTGGTGCGACGCTCGGTCTGGCTTGGGACAATCCCCCGTTTAAACATACAATGCGGATGGCATTGTTTGTTCGGTGTTGCGAATCCGTGTGACATCAATCTAGGCGGGACACGCGCGCCCGTGCATTCAAGACGGAGTCAGTCCCCACCATTTAGTTTTCTGACATTTCAAGGCCGAGTTCTTCAACGACATCTGAAACAGAAATTTGCCATGTGTTTCAACACATGCCAGCCATATTTCCTGCTGCGCGCATGAGCCAACTTGCACGGCCTTCTGAGGGGATTCGACGAACAAGACCATTTGATCTGCAGAAGCTGGGCAAGACGTGTATGTTACGGACTTGCTTGGCAGTACGTGATTGTTCGGGCAAGGGCCAGAATGAGTAGAGCTTTGTGATTGGGTGAGTGAGTCGGCACGACCGTGTTCCGTAACAACCTGGACTATGCTCTGCTATATTACAGACCAGAGACTAGAGACCACGGGCAACGACCAGGAACTACGGACCGTACCAGAGACCACGAACCACGACCAGAGACCAGGACCAGAGACCGCGAACCGCGGATGCTGGTTCGCTCAGGCCGCCCGTTGGCTTAGGAAGCCATGTGCAGGGCTCCTTATACGGAGAAGCTGTTTCCGGCAAGGCCGAGGAGGAGAAGGAGGAGGAGGAGGAACCCCCTCCCACCCAGGTCCTTGCCGGGTGGGAGGGGCAGGAAAGGTGTGCACGGCGACCGACATCGTCTCTTACAGCCGTTAGCAGTAGCAGGAGGAGGAGGAGGAGGAGGAGGAGGAGGAGGAGGAGGCCTTACTGTATCCTCACAGGCCTTCGCAAGGCCCCCAGGACCGTCAAGAGCCACCCGGGGTGAGAAGCCGGTTCCGGGGATTCCTCGGGCCCATGGTGTGAAGAAGTGGCCGACGTCGGGAGGGACTCGCGCCGAGGAAGCGAGGAAGTGGAGGATCGCCGAGGATGAGGCACAGCGAGCCCCAGACCCCCTCGGGCAATGAAAAAATCATGACGGGAGGTTTTTTGTCATTTCCTGCCTCTGGGGGCGCTTACCGGCCCTCGGGACTTTCAAGACACCACTCAGGATGAAAAACCTGCCCAGGGATGAACAAATCATGGCGTCTGGGGTCTGGGGTAGGAGGATGAAGCGAGGAGGAGGAGGAGGAGGAGGAGGAGGAGGAAGCGCCGAGGACTCGGGCTCTTGCATCTTCTTGGCCTCGACTCACGGTGTCCGTAGGCTCCCGCGCGGTCTTCCTGACAGCTCTGGGGGGGCCTGCCGAGACTTGCTGCGTGGTCGACCTCAGTTTGCAGGATGCGAGGAGGGAGCTCGAGAGTCCTCCGCGAGAGCGATTGGGGTCGGGCGACGAAACTCAGAGGAGGAAAGTAGTGGTATCGGTACCTCTTGGTCCCCCCACGAAACCTATACGTATCCATGGCCCCCTGCCCGGGCCCCTCCTGGGCCAGGGAGCTGTGAGTATACGCCCTCTTGGCCAATCCAGAAGGGCTGGTTGCGGATCGGGCTAAGCCCCGCCAAATGCAAAAGCACACCTCGTCGTCCTGCGAGGCCGAGTCAGAATCCTCATCCGACCCGCCACGACTGGGCGCCTCGCCGAAAGCATCGACACGCGCTGGGCCCTCCCGCAGCAATCCGAACACCGCGAGGACCACGTCCTGACTGGCCTAACCCGAGTTCGAGACAAAATCTGGAGGCGTCCAGGCTCAGCGTCGGCTGGCAGTTAGAGTCAAAGCCTCCGCAGCATCAGCGCTGAGCGGCCCAGGGAGGCTTAGGGTCAAATCAAGTCCTTGGTTGAGGCACGGTTGTGCGGATGGCGGCCATTATTGATCCGCTTGATCTGACTCGTGATGCCAGACTTCGCAGGACGACCCTTGCAGGTGTCTCGCTTCACTGGCCCAGGCCGCAACCCCACACAGTGGGCTCAGCCTCTGCCCCCGAGCTCTGGGGGATCGGACTGGCACTTGAGGAAGCCATGGGTTCTCACATCCAAGCCAGGAAGGCGCGTTGCAGACAACGCTGCTGAGTTCAGGATGGGCCTGGGCAGGGGGCAGTGGATATGTATCACTAGATCTCGTCGCACTACGAGAATCCTCCGTGGGAGAAATTGGAGGGGCACGATTTGTCAGCTTTTGTCCTCGCTTGCACTTGCATGACCATGCCAAGCATCGCTTCACACCTTACACTATGTGGCCGCAGCCGTCTAGGGGCGAAAGCGTGTCTTCTTTGAAGAAGCCTCGAAGCTTGAAGCGCAGGGACCCTCATAACAAAAACAAATCGCGCGTCAGAGTCATCTCTCAGCCTCTGGAGGCTGATTCTGGGCCTCGGAGAAGAGGTCGAGAAGTCGGGGGGCCCACGTCTCGGACGATTCGGGAAGCCTGTTGTTTTGGATCGACGTTCAGAACACCGTTGGAACGAGAGGGTCTCGAAGCGTTTCAGATTCTGCGTTGGAGGCCGAGGCGCCGTTAAGCCATGGTGTTCGGTCCGAACGGGCAGTGGTAGTGTGCTCGGCGAGAGCTCTCTAGCTCAGCAGGGCCGAGCATCGACTTCGCCAGCGGAGCAAAGATGTGGGCGACCCCGGAGGAGGGGAAAGAGGGGGGGGCAGCGGGAGGGACGAGAGGCGGAGGCGGGAGCCCCAGGACAGGAGAGGGCGCGGAGGAGGAGAAGCTGGAGGGTAAGGACGACGACGAGGAGGAGGAGAAGCCGGAAGAGGAGGAGGAGGAGGAGGAGGAGGAGGAGGAGGAGGAGGAAGAGGAAGGGGAGGAAGAGGAAGGGGAGCAGGGAGGAAGTGGAGACGGAGGAGGATCCTCTGCCATCCTCCCCCTCCCCCCATCCCTCCCCTCCCCCTCCCTCTCTCATCCCTCCCCTCCCCCCCCCGCCCAGAGCGACGTGGACCACCACGACGGCGGCGTCGGCGGTGACGACGGCAGCGGCGACGGCGGAAGCGGCGGAAGCGGCGGCGGCGATGCTGCGCAGAGCGAGCTCGCCCGACCAGGGGGGCTGCAGGCCGCAGTGCCCGCCGGCGCCATACGGCCCGCGCTGAGGTTCGCCGCGGGGGGGGGGGGGGGGGGGCTTACGTGAGGCAAGGCTGTTTAGGAGAGGATATGCTCAGGGGGGGGATCGGATGTGTTCGTCGGTTCCTGGAGGTTTCCCTGGCTCGGAAGATGTTTCAGCAGCTGCGCCTTGCCGAGATGCGCCTGGTAGTGTCCAGAATGTCCCGAACAGCCGCCAGAGACCCGAGTTATGACCCGAGGATTATTGGAGGGGGGTGATGTTACTGAAGTGGCCTGAGGGGAGGCCAAATCGAGATCCTTTCGGGACGAACAAACACACAACGGAGGGATTTCGGCCGTTTTCGGCCCCCCAGGGCCCTCGCCACGTCCTGGGGCCGTCCAAAAACAGCTCAGGATGGGAAGCAGGTCCTGGGCAAAGGGAGGCCAAACTCAATGGAAGGATTCGCTGCCCTGATTGTTTTTTCAGCTCCAGCCAAAACAAGAACTGCGAACACATCGGTCAACAAATATGTCAAACAAAGAATTGGGATTGGTGTTAGGCGAGTTTGGGTTGGCGTTTCGAGCAGTCGCCCCAGCGCATCCAGCAACGACTTTTTGGCGGCTTAGAATGGCCGTGGAAAAGCGGCAACCCACAGCGGGGCGAAGAGGGGGGCATTCGCCTTACTACCTGCGCGCTTGAATATCCGCCTTTGGCAGTTCAAGGGTCCCACGGGGGCTCCGAGGGGGCCCTTATGATCGGCCCTTGCTTTTGTCATGGCAACGGGCTGTTCGGGGGCCCATCGATGGCAATGGAGAAGGCCCTTGATCTAGGCTTAAGTTGGGCCTATCCCTCTACAGGAGGAAGGTTCAAACATTGTCGACACATAATATGGGTACGTTTTTTTATGTTTGCCCATTTGGGGGGTATGTTTTTGGTATTTGCTCCGCCCCAAAACCATATATAGGAGGAGACGCCCGACTTAAATCTAGGCTCCCCTCGTCAGGGCCCGAACATCACACATTTCTTCTTGGGTTGTTGGTGTGCTCTTGGGGGACATGGGTGGCGCCCCTGGCTCCCTTCTGATACTTTCCCGGGGCGTTCTTGGAAGATCTTCGAGCCGCGCTGGCACAACACAGGCCATGCGAAGTCGTGGGCGCGATGAAACCAAACAAAGAATAATGGAAACGCGACGGGGTCGGAAGATGTTGGCCTTTTTGGTCCATGTCGGCACAGCCCTTACACGGTTCGTTGCCCCATTGGGAGCTCCACCGAAGGCTCTAGTGGCCGCGCCCGCATGCGTCCTCCCCGCCATCCGCATGTCCATTTCGGCACACCCCTCATACGTTTCAGGGCCCCATAGGGAGCTCCACCGAAGGCTCCAGTGGCCGCGTCCGCATGTGCCTTCCACGCCCACAGCATGCCCATTTCGGCACAACCCTCACACGTTTCGTTGCCCCATCGGGAGCTCCACCGAAGCCCCCAATGGCAGGGTCCGCATGCGCCCTCCCCGCCCACCGCATGCCCATTTCGGCACACCCCTCACACGGTTCGTGGCCCCATAGGCACCGAAGGCCCCACTAGCCGCGTCCGCACGCGCCCTCCCCGCCCACCGATTGCCCATTTCGGCATACCCTTCACCACTTATTCGTGGCCCCATAGGGAGCTTCACCGAAGGCCCCAGTGGCCGCGTCCGCATGCGTCCTCCTCGCCCACCGCATGCCCATTTCGGCACCGCGTGGCCCCATAGGGAGCTCCACCGAAGGCCCCAGTTGCCGCGTCCGCATTCGCCCTCCCCGCCCAACGCATGCCCAAACTTCGGCACACCCCTCACACGCGTCGTGGCCCCATAGGGAGCTCACCGAAGGCCCCAATGACAGGGTCCACATGCGGCTCCCCGTCAGCCGCACGTCCATTCAGGCGCATCCTTCACACGGTTCGTGGCCCCATAGGGAGCTCCGCCGAAGGCCCCAGTGGCCGCGTCCACATGCGCCCTCCCCACCGCACGTCCATTTCCTCCTCCCGCGGCGGGCCGCCCATTGCATCCACGGTTCGTGGTCCCGTACGGCCATAGGGAGGCCCGTCGAAAGATTGACCCAGAATTCGGTACCCACAATTGTTTATGGTTGGGTCTTTCGTCCGGATGAATTTAACACATCGAATTTATGTTCTAAGAACTCTGCTTTTGTACTTACAACAGTTTACCACGCATCGGGTTCTGATAACATGTTGCGGTAGGCCTATAGGAATGCCGGGACGGTCGGTCCCTGCTCAAAGGGGGGCAGCGGAGAGTGCCGCCCGCGATCTTCCCGACCCGACCGTTGCGCAGATGCTGGAAGGAGGGGGGGGCGCCCTAGTTCTTTCTGTTGGGCGGTGCGGGAACTAGGGAAAGCTAGGTTTTGCGCGTCGCAGACTTGTAAATAGGGGATGCCGAAAACTCCTGGATGTCGGCGCTGCGACTGCTGGATTCCTCCTGGAGTCGGCCCCCAGATTTTGCTGCTGCTGCGGATCTTTGCCGCTGTTTGGTTGGAGTTTGCCCAGGTGTTTTTGTCGGTGGCGAGTCGCGATTGAAGACAGATGTCGTGGGCGAGCCCCAATGGTTGCCGCAGGTTCGCCGCATTCTCTTCCCGCCGCGTCGGGGGCGGCGCCGAGAGGGGGGGCGCGGGGGGGGACGGGCGCAAGGGGTGTTTGGGGCGAGAGAGGCCCCGGAGGCCCGAGGAGGCCGGCGTTTCGTTTGGGTCTCGATGCTCCGCGGCCAAAGCGCGGCCGCGGAGGCACGCGAGGACCTCGGGGAGGGGGCCCGGGCCGAGGAGCCGCAGGGGCAGCGGGCAGCGCCTTTTTCCGTTGGGGTGAAGTCGGGCACGTCCCTCCACAGGAGGAAGATTAACAAGTAGTCAAAAAATAGTCTGGGGGCGAGTTTTCGAGTAGTTGTTTGGAACATTTTGAGAGTATGTTGTGGCTATGTGTGTATTTTCTCGCTCAAATTCCCCCTGTAGGAGGACGTGCCCGACCTAACGTGTCTGGGGTTTTGCGCGGCACCGTGGTGCCACCAGGTCGGCGATGGCATCTGCCGCTGCGCGGCGCGGGCCGCAGAATCAGGGAGTCGGAGCTTCTCGAGGCCCCCGAGACGGGCCCGGTGCTCCATGGACGGCTCTTTATCTCTTGGCTTAAGTCGGGCGTGTCCCTCTCCAGGGGGAATATTCAAAAATAGTCCAGAAATAGTTTGGGGACGATTTTTTGACTACTTTCAACCATTTCGGGGGAATTTTCGGGGTATTTCAATTCTTCGTCCAAAATCCCCCTGTAGGAGGACAGGCCCGACCTAGCCCTTGGCCCCCCCCAGCCCCGTGCTTCCATGGCGTCTACGAGCGGCCCTCGGAAACCCGAGCGCGGTTTCCAGATTCATTGCCGCTGACGCGATACCCCCGGGTTGGGCGCCCAGCTCGCTCAAGAGCGGGCCCCGAAAGGCTTCCGAGGCTTCAAGACCGCCCCGAGGTGGCACGCAGAGCGCCCCGCAATCTAGCGCGAGGTTCCCACGAAGGCTTCGGGTGGCCCCTCGAGGGCGATGGAAGACGGCCAGCGGGCCCAACTGCTCGATGCTGGGCCAAGGGGGTTTCGACTTTCAGCCCAAGGCAATGTTCAAGGGTACCTCTTTCCGCCGGGCCCCGCAACGTTCGATTTGTTTCTGAATGGAAGACTCCTGGAGACGTTGGCAGGTCAGTGGGAGATTCCCTGGGCCTTCCCGAGGCTTCGGGAGGGCCGCAGGAGGGCTTCCTGCGTGGGGGCCGATTCTAAGGCAATCTACGTGCCCCCTTTCCTCTGGGGGGGGCTCATTCGGCATCTTGCGCGCGCGCCTATCGCCATCGCGCTGTGATTTGGTGCTCCGCTCGAACACGCAAAACCGGGCGGACGTTTCGGTGCGATGCGTCTTCGAACCAGCCTCAGTCAAGAGGGCTGGCGGGATTGGCTTCGAGCCCCTGCAGGAGGACCGCTGGTGCGCGGTCTGGCCCGATGCGTGCCTTCGCGCCGCTCGGGACCGCGCCTCGGGGTTGCCCCTTCCCGGTGGCCCTCGCGTCGCCGGCACGCCGCCGCGCCGTCGTGGGCCTGCCCTGGCTCGAGCTCGCTTCCCGTGCTCGTCGTTCGCTGTTGCTCCCCTCGCGCGGCCGTGCTCGCTCCTCGCCCTGGGCCCCCCGGCACCTGTGCAGCAGCTCTGCACGCGTGGAGGCGGGCTTCTTCCCAAAGTGAGCTCTCACGGGCCTCCTCCGCCTCCTCCTCCTCCTCCTCCTCCTCCTCCGCCTCCTCCTCCTCCGCCCTCCTCCTCCTCCTCCTCCTCCTCCGCTCTCGACCCGTCGTCCACGAGGGCGCCCAAAGGGCCACACACTGCCCTGGGACGGCTCCAGAGGCGCCCGAGACGGCCCAAGACGCACCCAAGACAGCCCCAAGAACAGTTGATAATGGGCCAAGACGGCTCCACCGCCCCGTCTCCAAGACGGCTGTAGAGGCCCCCGCCGCCCCGTCTCCAAGCCTTTCCGTTTGGACAGTCTCCAAGACGGTCTTTGGGCCGTCCGGGACGGCTCCAGAGGCGCCCGAGACGGCTCAAGAAACACCAAAGATAACCCCAGCCGGAGGAACACTGGACCGCACTCAACGCGACGGCGAATGCGGCAGCGACGTTGACGACGACGGCGAAGACGACGAGGAAGGGGACGAGGCCGAGGCCGAGGCCGAGGCAGACAGCAGCAGCCGCGGCAGGCGGAGAAGCCTTTGGGGGGGGGGGGGGCACGGCCCGCCGTGCCCAGACCGGCCCGCAGGCCCGGCTCGGTGGCGCAGGGCGCGCTGGCCGCGGCTGCCGCGGCCGCGCAGGCCCCACCGCCAGAGCCCGTCCCCTCCACAGGAGTGGAGATTGTGCCGCAGTGTGCATGCAGCAGTGTTGTCTGACGGGGGAGGGCCCGCATTGTCCTGGGTCTGTCGCCGAACAGGTGAGCGAGGGCGTGCATATGAACCAGGAAGTTGGTGATGAGCCTTTCCCCGAAGAGGGGAAGGAGGGGTTCTTGGAGTAGGGGAGGGAAGATCGGTTCTACCACCTCCGCCCAGGGGGCTGGTAGGATTAGAAACGATCGGAATTCCAAATGAAGACGCGGATGGGATTTCACCCACGAAAATGACGACCTTGGCGTGACCCCAGTTGGCGCCCTGGAAAGAGCAATCGGGCATGCACAGAACGCCTGTCCCAGACCAGTCGACCGCGGAAATCTCCACTGGTTCACTCGTCTTTGGCACTCGAGTGTGCTGGTGCAGTCCCCAGGCGGTTGCGCTGATCGGCGTGCGTTTCGCTGAAGAGGATTCACCTTCGAGTCGGGAGGGAGGAGGAGGAGGAGAACACTGGGCACGTCAAAAAAAGAACTCGGCCTGCCAGCAGGTGCCCCACGGGAGTCCTCTCGTCCCCCGAAGGGGCCCTTGCATGGGGCCCACCACAGAAGTCTTGGGGCGGCAGGGGGATCAAATCTCGACGAAACATGCGCTCAGAGATGGCAAGATGTCATACAGTGGGAGCGCGCATCAAGAAACCATAGGCTTTTCGCCAGGGTGTCCGGGTTTTTTTCGCTCCTCGCGCTGCGGGGTGGCTTCCCGCGGCCGTTGAAGGGGCTGCTGCGTTCAGGGTGCTCCGGGTTTCCCCTCAGGTGCACCTCGCGCACGGGTTCTCAGGGTTGGGTTTCTTGTGCGGGTTTCTTGCGGCCGCGCCCGCACTGTAGATGTAATGTGTCTACTGTGGCACGCCGCTTGTGGGAACCCGTCAGCGTGCTGCTCCTCCGTTCTTGTCGGAGGGACGCTCGGTGCTCCTTCAGGAGTAGCATGCCGATCGGTTCCTGACGGCGGCGTGTCATTGACATTGGTTTTGGGTCCCAAGAGAAGGCCTCTACATACCGCCACCCCCTCGAGTCGTGGCAAAAATCACGACGATAGGTGTTTGGCCGTTTTCGGCCCCTGCCGTTGGGGGCCTCACTGGACCGGGGAGGCCGTCAGAACGCGACTCGGGATGAGAAGCCAGTCCTGGGGAAGGAGGTCGTCGAAAACTGGTGTGATCGTCCTGCATGTTCTGCACCATGTCCGTGGGGAAACCAAAAGGCAACGATACCGCTATTGCCTGGACCTCTCCTGGGGTTCAGTCTGACTAGGTGTTCGAAACGAATCCAGCCTCGGCGAGGGTCTCCCAGGAGGCCCAAAAGGGCGAAAACGAGAGAAGGGGAGTGTTCGACGACGAGCCAAGGTGGGAAGTCAGAAGGGACAGGCCTTCGCAGAAGGCTCGGATGTCCCCCAGCCTTTGAGAAGTTTCCGAAGTTTTCCCCGAAGACACAGAAAACTCCCCAGAAGGCCCAAGTGCTTCTGATAAGCCCCGCCCGCCGCTTTCTGAGAAGGCCTTCTCCGTCTCACTTACCCCCCCGGCGTGCAGCCGAAGTGTGTTTCGAATCTCACGTTCCCCAGGGGCCCACGCTACGAACGAAGCACGATGTCGGAGGTCTGGGCACCACTACCGCGCCAGGACAGGGCCATCCTGCGCCCCGGGATGGAGTCCCGGCCCTCTGTCCCAGGGCCAGGAGGGCGTATACACCATGCCAGGGTTAAGTCGGGCGTGTCCCTCTACAGAAGGAAGGTGAAACAATAGTTTAAACAAATAGTATGGGGACGATTTGTTTAAACCATGTTTGAGTATTCTTGGAATCTGTTTGGGCTATGTTTTATGTTTCGTCCAAAATCCGCCTGTTGGGGGGTGGACAGGCACGACTTAATGCCAGGGCCCATGATGGCCCAGGCAAGGCATGGTGGTGGTGCATCGGTGCCCTCTGCGAGTATATATCGCCGCGCCGCTTGTTTCGACGCGCGGCCTCACGCCTTGGGGAGGGCGCCGCGGCCACCAGGGGAAACGCCGCCTTGGGCGCAGGGCTCGCCGTACGGTTTGCCGCGGCGCAGGCTTCGACTGGTTGGGCACGGGACCCAGGGCTTGCCGTGGTTTTTCTGTGGTGTCGGCGTCGTCCACTTGAGCGCTTCGAGAACAAACGGCGCGGCGACATAGCTCAAGACCTCCAACGTCCCAACGTCCTGAAGAAGTTGGACCTCTTCTAGGCCTCCAGAACTTCTTCTGGTTCCCTCGTCGTCACGGCCAGATTCCACCCGAAGTTCTGGTTAGAGCGCACCTCAGGATAGGACGGGGGTCGGAGCAGGAGGAGGAGAATGACGACGACGATAACGACGAGCACGAGGTGGTGGACAAGAAGAAGGAAGAGCAGGAGGCTGCCATCTCAGACGGTTGCCTCCCTTGTCCGGAACCCCCAAACAACATAAAAACAAAACGACAGCGTGGTCGTCATGGCCCAGTCACCCACTCTGCGCGCAGCCAGCCCAGACACCCAAGGCCGCTATTAGTTCCACAAAGATCTCGAACCCTTCCCTCAGACCAGTTTTGAATTCCGAGTCGTTTTTTGAGAGCCACTGGGTCCGGGTAAGGGCCCCTGGAAGCCGAAAACATCCAAAGTCTAGGGGTTATGGGTTCGGGGTCAAAATCGACTTCCCCCACTCTGGGGTCACATACTGGGGTTCGTTCTGGCCAGGTTTTTGAGGCGGTTCCAGCCATGGCGACGAGATCCAGGGCTCCCACCTGGGGTCCGAGCAGATAGGGTTCGGAGGATTGCGCCGCACCGCCGATGCATCGGCGGTGCGGCGCGATGTGGAGCCTGGTTTCTCCACGCCGTCGTCGCAGATGCATCGGCGTTGCGGCGCGATCCTCCGACCCCATCTATCTCTTCGGACCCTATCTGGGAGGCCTGTACGGAAGGCCTCCCAAAGGCCCAGAGAGGCCGAAAGACGACGACTAACCTCGAACTTCGACGCTCGATTTCTCCCTCCGCATCCGGCCAAGGACGAGGAGGAGGAGGAGGAGGAGGAGAATGAGGACGAGGAAGAGGATGATGATGACCTCGAACTTCGACGCTCGATCCTCTCCGCTTCCGGCGCCGAGGACGAGGCGGATTTCGAACTTTCCGCTTCCGGGCAAGGACGAGGAGGGGGCCGAGGAGAGCCTCGAACTCTGATGCTCGATCCCCGCGCCGCCTCCTGCCGAGACCGAGGAGGACCTCGAATTTCGATGCCCGATCCCCTCCTCCCTTCTGGCCAAAGACGCGGAGGGGGAGGAGGATCAGGAGGGGGAGGAGGAGGAGGAGGAGGAGGAGGAGGAGGAGGAGGAGGAGGAGGAGGAGGAGGAGGAGGAGGAGGAGGGGGAGGAGGGGGAGGAGGAGGAGGAGGAGGACTTCGAGCTCCGACCCTCGATCCTCCCGCAGTGTCCCACCGCGGACGAGGAGAAGGCGGAGGCCGAGGACGAGGGAGACCTCAAATTTCGACGCTCGATCCTCATTCTGCTTCCGTCCCAGGACGAGGATGAGCACAAGGAGGACGACGACAAGGAGGAGGAGGAGGAGGAGGAGGAGGAGGAGGAGGAGGAGAACGACGAGGAGGATGTCGAACTCTGATGCTCGACGACCCTCCTTCGCTTCCAGCCGAGGCCGACGAGGAGGTTGAGAAGGAGGAGGACGCAGAGGACCTCGAACTCTGATGATTCAATGTCGATCCGATCGACACGGTTCGATATCGATCTCGGCCAGTTCAACCCGATATGATTCTCATGTTTTGAGGACAGATCCAGCTCGATTCTTACATGACGGTGTTGTGCAGCATGGCACGGCCTATCCGATTCGATACGAACCGATCCTTGCCTCCCAGTACTCATCCCTGCCTCCTCCCCCATCCCCCTTCTGTTTTCAAGACTCGGTGCCGCGCCGCGGCTCTCGTGCTCTGGAGACAGGAGAGGAGGCAGGACGAGGCGGCCCTCGAATTCCGATTCCCGATCCCCGCCCCCGCACTTCGACGCTTCCGGCCAAGGACAAGGAGGAGGAGGACGAGGAGGACCGAACTTCGACGCTCGATCCTCCGTCCGCTTCCAGCCAAGGAGGAGGAGGAGGAGGAGGAGGAGGAGGAGGAGGAGGAGGAGGAGGTGGACGAGGAAGCCCTCGAACTCCGATGCCCGATTCCCGCTCCGTTTCCGGCCAGGGACGAAGAGGAGGAGGAGGCCGAGGAGGAGGACGAGGAGGAGGAGGAGGCCGAGGAGGAGGAGGCCGAGGAGGAGCGGGAGGGGGCACGAGGAGGCCTTGGCGCTCCTGTGCCTGCCGCCCCACCCCCCTCCGCCCGCCGGCGCTCAGGCAGCGGTCTTCGCGGCCCCCGCGGGCAAGGCCCCCGCGGGCAAGGCCCTGGTGCGGGCCCTGACCCCGGGCGCGCAGACGGCGCCGCCGACCAGGCGCTCGGGTCTAGGCTCAGGTCGGGTCTGTCCCTCCACAGGGGGGATATTCAAAACTAGTCCAAAGATAGTCTCTGAGGACGATGTTTGGCCATTTTTGAATGTTTGTTTTACTATTTGTTTATCTTTCGCCCCGAATCCGCCTGTAGGGGGACAGGCCCGACCTAAGTCTAGGCCTCTCGGATGGGGTCCGAGTAGACGTGGTCGGAGGATCGCGCCGCATCGCCGATGCATCGGCGACGCGTCTCGACGTGGAGCCTGATTGTCCCCACGCCGACGTCGCCGATGCATCGCCAGTGCAGCGCCGATGCATCGCCGATGTATCGGCGACGCGGCGCGATGCTCCGACCACATCTACCCCGACCCCATCTAGGAGGCCTCTTTCGGAGGGGGGGGGGGGGCACGAGAGTCAGAAGTACAGTTATCAGGTCGGGAGGATTAGTTTGGGAGACATGACCATGTCATCCGTATCGTCGAGTACGTTGAAGGTGTTGATTACACATTCGCACCCTGTATCTTCCCAACCCCTTCCTCCCAACAGGATCATTGTCTCCCGCAGAGAAGGAGGGGGCGGCGAGGAGCTTCTTCTTCAGGGTCTCGTTCAGCCGGTAACACCCGCCACAGGGTAGAGCAACGGGCGCTTGCTGGCACCTAGCAGACCGTCTTGCGTAGGCGCCGTTGATTTAGGACGGCGCCCCTCCCACAAGCGCGTCAGCCTACCCTTGGACATCTGATTCGTGGCTGGTTGCAGGGGCTCTTGATCAGAGTCGTCGATTGCATTGCGCGTAAGAGTCGCACCGTCGACGGAAAACAGAAGTTGGCCGAAACACAAGATGTGTACCAGCATTTAGGCCTTGAGAATGCGATCTTGCAGGTTGTCTCGACTACCTCGGAGTCGGCCGTCGGTTCGCCCTCGTTCGAAGGCGGGGGAGGAGGAGGCATCAGGAGGAGGAGGAGGAGGAGGAGGAGGAGGAGGAGGAGGAGAAGAGGGAGGAGGAGGACGAGGAGGGAGGAGGAGGAGGAGGAGGACGAGGAGGAGGAAGAGGAAAAGGAAGAGGAGAGAGGAGGAGGAGGAGGAGAGGAGGAGGGAGGAGGAGGGAGGAGGAGGAGGAGGAGGAGGGAGGAGGAGAGGAGGGGACGACGAGGACCAGGACAAGGATGACCAGGAAGTCAAAGACGAGGACGACGAGGAGGAGGAGGAGGAGGAGGAGGAGGAGGAGGGAGGAGGAGGAGGGGAACGAGGACTCCTCATCAGCCTCCTCCTCCTCCTCCTCCTCCTCCTCCTCCTCCTCCTCCTCCTCCTCTCCTCCTCCTCTTCCTCCTCCTCCTCCCGACGTGGCAGGCCCCTGGCCGAGTGCATGGAGGAGGCGTGGGCCGCGGCCGCGGCAGGCGACCCCCGAGCCCCTCCTCGTCCGCGCAAGGCTCGGCGCAAGGTGCGTCGGGACGTGATGCGCGGAGCCCCTGGCTTCGGCGCCCGCGAGGAGAGGAGGGCCGGGCGGCCCCTCTCCTGCTCCTGCTCCTCTTGGCACGAGAATCGGCCACGCGCAGAGGGGGGTATGGGGAGGGGGGGAAGGCTTCTTAGAAGCACCCCTGCTTCTCTGAAGCTTTCACCCCTCCCCCTACCCCATTGTGCGCGCCGCCAAGAGAAGCCAAGAGCCTTTTTGACACCGCCTCCAGGCGCCGTTGTCTCCCACCTCTGCCTCCTCCTGCCGCTGCTGCTGTTAAATCTTCGGGCTCCGCATATCCCCCCAGCCCGTTCAGAAACCGTGCCCATGAACGCTAATTGGGAAAGAGACGAAAAGACATCTATTGAGGCAAAACGCACAGCCAGGATGAGCAGAGAGATATCTGGGGCCAAGGGGGTGGTCTTGGAGGGCCTCTTCGGGCCATTCCTGGGGCCCGCGGGGGGGATGAGGAGGAGGAGGAGGAGGAGGAGGAGGAGGAGGAGGAGGAGGAGGAGGAGGAGGAGGAGGAGGAGGAGGAGGAGGAGGAGGAGGAGGAGGAGGAGGAGGAAGGGAGGAAGAGGAAGGAGGAGGAGGAGGAGGAGGAGGAGGAGGAGGAGGAGGAGGAGGAGGACGAGGAGGAGAGGAGGAGGAGGAGGAGGAGGAGGAGGAGGAGGAGGAGGAGGAGGAGGAGGAGGAGGAGGAGGAGGGGGGGGGTCGAGAGCACTTTGAACCGTCTTGAGGCCGGCTTGGGGCTTTTGAAGGCATGTTGAAAGCCATGTTGAGCCATCTTCGGCTATCTTGAGCCATCTTGGAGCACCGGAGGCCCTCTTGAAGCCATCTTGGGACATCTTGAGTGCCCTGACAGCTCGCGAAGCCCTCCAACAAACCTCAGGGAGGGGAGGGGGAGGGTATCTCCCCCCGAAGGGACAAGGGCTTTGGAAGAGGAAAGAACGACACCATTAGACCACCTACGCCCACAGGGCTGGTGGGATTATTCCTCCTCCTCATCCTCCTCCTCCTCCTCCTCCTCCTCCTCCTCCTCCTCCCACTGAAGCATTTTGGTTTATGCACGTTCCGAGCTGATGCTTGGTCGGCGCTCCTGCGCCCCGCCTCCCCGTCGGCCATGACTGTCGCTCCCCGCACTGCGTGCCTCGGGCAACTGCTTGCGGCTGGCTGTACGCTTGTTGTAGAGCCTGCCACGAACGAGGTGGCCGTCATCCAGAAGCTTACGGTGCACGTCTACCCGGGAGTTCTCGTGGATGTTGGCCCGCAGATTTTTGCAGGCATCGCTCTAGACTGGACTGCTGCGGTGGATGTCTCGCGTGCGATTGTGGACCCTGGCCACGAGCACTCCGACGGCCTCTCTCGAGCTGAGCTCCTGATGAGTGGAGCGCGTCCTGGCGCAGCCGTGCGGCCTCCTGCCGATGGAGGCCATCCTGCTGACGCTCAGGACGATGATGAAGATTGGCACGGGGGACACTCTCGGCGCCCTCGGCGCGCTCGCTCTGCTGGCCCGTCGGGCGGCAGCACTGGATTGGCGCTAGGGGGCAGCTTCCCTGGAGTAGGTCGCTTCTGGCGCCAAGAAGCCGCACACGCATGTGCGGCTTCCTGCCGATGACCCCTCAACCTCGCCAGCGGTCCGGCAGTTCCTTGAGTTCTCGTGGAAACGTGATGTTCCCGTCTTCACTCTGAAGGTCTTGGTGGCTAATCCTGGCGTGTATCTTCCTATGCGGCTGCGCGGTGTGGGCTCCCACCGTGCCTTGGAACACCTTTGCCGTGAGGTACACGGCGAACTTCATGGTGGACGTGCTGAGGAGGTTCTCCAAGTGCTGCGGAGCTCCACGGGCGACCTAACCAATGCATATATTGAGGATTGAGCTGGGGCGCGCACGGAACCTATCTTTTGTCCTGGTAAAACTCCTCCTTTCCTCCTCCTCCTCCTCCTCCTCCTCCCACTTTTCGTGGCTGGGGCCCGTCTGCGGGATGCCCCAAAGGAGCAACATATTGTTGTAGAATCCTGCGAGCGCAGGGCTGAAGACGTTACCCTGTGGCTCGGCAGGCTCCACGAGTGGCTACGCGAGGCCGGCCTCCAAGATTCACGCGGAAGTGAGGCACGGCAGACGTCGTGCTAGATCTCGGATCGGATGCCACGCAGCTGGGGCCCCAGGAGGAGGCGCAGGCACGGGAGAGGCACTGCGAGCGCAGAGCCTCGCTCCGATCGCGCATTTCCCCATCCCGCCCGAGCCGTGGACGGAAGGAGAGTCGACCCCAGCTCCCGCGGCGAGCCTTCCTGCTGCTGGGAGCGCTGGCCGTCTCCAGCCGTGGCTTTTTTCAGGAGCACGAGATAGTTCAGTATCGTTTCACCGACCCCCATCTCCATCCTCATGCCCTGCGAGACCCCCACCAAATTACCACCCAGTTGGGGATGCACCCCTCGAAACCCAAAAGGAACGACCTATATCCCCATCTAGGGGGGTAAATCGGCCAGTGGGGCCCAGGCCACGCCGCTGGGGATGGGGATCGGTTAAATGATACTCAATAGTGCGGGCATCAGTGCACGGGCTCGTACTTGAACCGCCAGTTCTGTTCTGCACGGGCTGCGGTGCCAGCGTGCAGGAAACGAGTTCGGGCCTGGGTCAGAGGAGGAGGAGGAGGAGGAGGAGGAGGAGGAGGAGGAGGAGGAGGAGGAGGAGGAGGAGGAGGAGCAGGCTTCCGAGGTGCCTGCACGCTTCTCCGACGCAGTCCCCCCTCTCCCCAGGCTCGAGTCGGTCGTGACTCGGTTGCGAGGGAGGGAGGGAGGGAGGGAGGGAGGGAGGGAGGGAGGGAGGAGGGAGGGAGGGAGGGATTCGAGTCGGTCCTGCGAGCCGGGACGCGCGCAGGTTCGAAGGTTCGGGCCCCGAGGCCGAGGGAGGCTTCTACGGACTTGAGGTGCCCGAGCCATCGAGGTGTGTAGAGATGCTGGGTTGCACGGGCTTCAGGATATCAGGGAGGCTGTGCTGTGGTGCCGCTCTGAGCGTAACGAGGAGGAAAGCTTCGAGCAGGCCCACGGGGACGTGGGACCCCCTCGCGGTGCAACTCGAGCATCTGAGGCTAGAAGAATGCGGGGGAGCTTGTTCCATTGCCCATGACCGCCTACTACAAAACCTCCCACTCTCGTCCTCCTCCTACTCCTGAGATGGCATGGGGTAAGGGGGGGGCGGTTGAGGCAAGAATCGAGAAGAGGACAAGAAGGAGGACAAATAGCGCGACGAGGCAGGGGATGAGGGGGAGGATGCCGACGTGGCTTATTGCGAAGGCCTTACGGCCGGGGCCGCCGACCCTGTTCGCAATGCGCAGCAAGAGGCACGGGACTCCCCCGGGCCACCCCCCGGGACCCCCCCTCCCCCCCCCGTCGGGGAAGGGAAAGGGAAGGGGCTTCCCTTCGACTCAATTACGACGTTGCTCAAGGTCGGTTTGGCTGGCGCGCTTGAGGAGGAGGCCCTGGGAAAGACCTCCCCTCCCCCTCCCGGCGGGGGAGAGATTAAAGACAAGGGGCGTCCCTTCGAATCAATTACGACGTTGCTCAAGGTCGGTTTGGCTAGCGCGCCCTGGGGCTTGGGGTTCGGGTCCTGGGGAAAAGGAAGAGAAGGTCCTGGGGCCGGGTCCTGGAATCAGGGGGTGGGGTCCAGAGTTGTCAGGCTCTCGGGCTCCGGGGTAGAGGAGGAGGAGGAGGAGGAGGAGGAGGAGAAGGAGGAGGAGGAGGATGACTAGAAGGAGGAGGAGGCTGAGAAGGAGAAGAGAGGAGGAGTTGCAGGGTCCTTAGAAGGATGTGAAGCTGGAAATCCGAAGGTACGGGGGTGAGGGGGGAAAGGCGCGGGGCGCGGGGCGCTCTCTTCCTGTGGAAAGGAAGGAGAGGGGGAGGAAAGGGAAGGCTCCCCCCCGTGTGGACAGGGGGAACAGAGGGGGCTGTGGACAGGGGGAACACAGGGGGGACGGGGGAGAGGGGGGAAAGGCGCGGGGCGCGGGGCGCTCTCTTCCTGTGGACAGGAAGGACAGGGGGAGGAAAGGGGGGCCCCCCCCCCGTGTGGACAGGGGGAACAGAGGGGGGCTCTCTGAGGCGCTCTCCTCCTCGGGCGCGGCTCGGGGGCGGCTCGGGCGGCTCGGGCGCGGCCTGAAACAAGAAAGAATCCTTACGTGGAGTACTTACGGGGGGGGCGTCGTATCTGACCCGGGACTTCCCCGGGACTCCCCCGGGACCCCCCCCGGGACCCCCCTTCCCCACCCCGTCGGGGAAGGGAAAGGGAAGGGGCTTCCCTTCGACTCAATTACGACGTTGCTCAAGGTCGGTTTGGCTGGCGCGCTTGAGGAGGAGGCCCTGGGAAAGACCCTCCCTCCCCCTCCCGGCGGGGAAAAGATTAAAGGGAAGGGGCTTCCCTTCGAATCAATTACGACGTTGCTGAAGGTCGGTTTGGCTAGCGCGCTTGAGGAGGAGGCCCTGGGAAAGGGCGAGGGGAGCGGGGAGGAGCCCAGGGGAAGAGGGGTACCAGGGAAAGGGAACGACAGAGACGACGATTACAAAGAATGACGGAGATGACGGCTCGAACGGAAAAGCCCCTCACACACGCCGACAGGGTCGGCGGATTCCCCCGAAGAGGCGCTACGCGATGTTGCACTAAGCAGCGCTGTCGCTCCATGCGCGAGCACAGATGTGGGCAATCCCGCGCGTAGAGTGAAACAAGTAAGCAGATCGCGGCAGGCGACGGCAAAGCGCCGATGAAGTGGAAGCCGCTCGGGGGCGGCACGGTGGCGGGCAATGGTAAGGCCTGGGGGGCCGGTGCGGTAGCCGGGCCCGCGCTCCTCCAGAAGGCGGAGAAGGAGTTCGGGGGGAGGAAGGAAGCCCACTGCAACCATAGTGTCAAGAGTTGGGGGGCAGACAGCGCACCTCCACCTGGACCCCCTTCCCCCCTTTGGGGCTGGGCCAAAGAATTTCAGCCCCCGATTGTGAGAGATATAGCCCCAACCCTACGGTAGGTTCGTGTCGACTGGCGGCGACCGCGCCGGCGGCGTTCAACGTTGAACGCCGCCTGCGACCAAGAATTGATTGGTCGATGTTGAACGATGCGGCGTTTTGGAAACGGCCGATCGTTCAGGGTTGAAAGTTCCCCGCGGCGTGAGAAACCAACGTCGAAGCCAGCTCGACACCAACTTGCCGTACCCGGCTCCAGGGAGGGGGGCCAGGTGGGTAGGGATGCTCTTCTGCTCCACCATGTTGGGCTCAGGAGAGGCGTTGCTTTTTTGGCCGCCGTTCCCGAGATCTGAGTCGGGAGACCTACTCGTGGCCGAGGCTCGCCGTGGTCAGAAAAGCTCCTTCGTTTCTTATGGGGCTTTCCTTGCGGTAGCGCGATGGCTGTATGGACACATGTTGAGTTTACCCCTCGCTCTGCGAGGGTGGAGTGAGGTGCCTGGACGTGTTGGCTGGTTCTCTTACGTGTTTGGCCTTGCTAGGGCGTCTGGAGGCCCAGGGCCCATGGGCCCACTGGGGAAGGGCCTCCAAACCTCCAGGGACTTCGGGGTCAGCATCCGAAGCTGCTCGAAGACGTCAGGCCCCAGACCAGCAGAGGCTCCTCGTGGCCACGGCTGGATGCAGCTCGAAGGGGATGGAGGATTGAGATTTGTGATTGTTGGCTTCCTTCGTAACTTTTAGCCTCGTTGCGGGCGCTGTTCTCGGGCTCCGGGTCCTGGGGTTTGGTCGAGAGGTCTGGGGGGCGCGTCCCCCCCTCCCCGGTTCCCCATCCTCCCGCCGACAAGGGTCGGGAGGTCGGGAGGTTGCCTGACTACAGGGGACCCCCCCGCCAGACCTAACAGGGCAGATCGCATTCAACCATCTCGACGAACATAGTCGAGCAACAGGATACCAGCCCGTTGTTGGCAACTGTAGCCGTTGGTGGCTTCTCCTTCAGCGCCCACATCACATCCCTCACACAGCTCTGAGAGACGCTCGTCAAGGCCATTGTCCTTATATTGTGGACGCCACGCGGGCGACGGCGAAAAACACAGGAACAAGTTTTCCCTCCCACAAGGTCGGCAGAAGCAATGGCATGCACCATGGGCACGTCACCTGGAGGCACACGAGGGCGTACAACGGTAGAGAGCACTATGTTGCTCTTCCCGTTGGTTATGGCACTATTGACAGACTCGCACATTTCAACCAGTAGTCTCGACGTCAAAGTACGACACTCGAGCATTCAAGGGTAGGCGTGAAGGCATGTCAGGAGATTTCCTTATGGAAGGACAGGGCTAACGCTCTCGTAATGGATGTGAGGATTTCTGAACATGCGATGAGCTTGATTTCGCAGATTCTGCTGCATTGTCTTTTCTCCCTGGTGAAGGCGGAGCATTGCACTTGCGTGCGCCTCATCTTGAGCCTACAAATCCCTGGGGTGTGTGAGAATCTAGAGAACTCACAGGCACAGATTGTGCACCGGAGTATTGATGTTGTGTGTATGTAAGCTTGAGTGCTTGAATACGGAAGTAATGCGATCGGTGTAAAGGTATGCATGCGTGTTTGCACACGGCGGTAAATCACAAAAGCGATGGGCGCGTGTATGCATGCGTGTTCGCACGGAAGTGAAACGACGGGTGTGCATGTGTCGTGGGTGCTTCGGTTCCATGTCGAGCATGTTCGGCTTGGTTGGTTCCAAATAGTTAGCATTTAATTAATTCCTGTTTGCACCCCTTGGGCCCAAGGGACACACCGGATCAAAGCATGCGAGCGTGACGCATTGATGCACCAGTAGGAGTGCAAATTGTGTTGGGAACGGTGCGCACGCGTGTAGACTGCATTCAATGTGTTCATTGCATTGCTCACAAGCCCAAGGTGGGTCTCACGCGCAAGCGCAAACATACATTTCATGGCCATGTGTGGCGCCTGTTGGTTTGGAATCGCATGTTTGGGTGTCGCGTTCGACCAAAAGTGCACGATGTGCCTTGTGGCAGGGGTCGCTTTCCTGAACAGCACGCAAATGCATGCGACATTGCTTGAGGCCCCCGAATTCCTCCCATGGTGTACTCATGGGTTGTGAGTGCTTGCGCCGAGTTTCCAAGAACCAAGACGTGCTTGCATTGTTTCGTAGATCGCTCCCCCTCTAAATGTGCAACTTGTGCTTTCTGTCAAGTCCCGATATCATTAGCTTAAGCATGCGCAAAGCATAATATGAGGGTCCCCGTGAGGAAAACAAGGGGATCTACACACGCATATGTGTATGAACGCTGCGTCTCTGCACCTTTCCGCCGGATTTTCATGAGGCAACACGGCCGCGCACACACACAACCAAGCAACAATCATATGCATGTTGCATTGTTGTGTTATTTCAAACGTTGTCTAAACAGCCCGTCGATCATACGTGGGGGGGGCATCTTAGCGGGCCCAGGGCCGTTTTCGAGCGTTGTGGGTGCCTTGGGGATCCTCTTGAGGCCTCTTGGGAGTCGCTTGGGAGCCTCATGGAGGCCCTTTGGTCGACTCTTGTCTTGGAGCCGTCTGGTCGCCTCTTCGGGCCCTCTTGGGGCGCCCTTGGGAGCTCTAGGGTCGCCCTTGGAGCCATATTGAAAGGCATCGACACACAAAAAAGAGAAACTTAAATTCTAGACGCTTCGCGTATCCCCACCTATCTTCGGTTGGCTAATTGCGTGTGCGCACTCCTGGACCTGGTTCCTGGCAGCTGCAGCCCGCACCCCCTTCCGCTTCCGGTGATCTGAGGTGCCGCCTAGGCTCTTGCTTGCCGGCTCTTTAGGCAATTAGGTTCGCGCGCGGCCCGCCCGGCCCGTTACTCGCCGCCTGCGCTTCCGCATGCGGTTGCGACAAAAAAATATCCCCACCAGTGGAGGACGGGTGGCCGCAGAGCGCGGCCAAAGGTGCGCTCCGGCAGTCCAAGGGTGGCAAAGGCAAGGCCAAGAGCGGCAAGGGGAAAACCAAGGGGAATGAGGGTGATAAAGGAGACGGCAAGGCCAGCAAGGACAGGAGCCGTTCCCCAGCCCCCGCGACCAGCCTGACAGGACAAAAGGGCGGAAAGCCTGACAGGACAAAAGGGCGGAACGGATGGCCAGATGTTAGTGGACCGAACAGGTTGGACCAAGGTTTTCGACCAGGAGGACTCCGCGCGCACCGGCATTGGCACCGAATTCCTTGGCCTGCAACAGACTGCGCCATAACATTTGCAATCAGGCGACCTAGTGCTCTCCACCATCGATTCCAGCCAAGGAGGCGAGGCGGACATCGCGATCTTCCTACCACCAGGTCGAACGGGAACCACGACTGGGGTGTCATGGAAAACGCCAACAGGGCCAATGTTGCCATTGCAAGGGCCACCCGTTTCGTCGTTACCATCGGCGACGGCAGAATCTTCGCCTCCGCCCCGTGGTCGAGGCTGAGTGTGCTTTCCGAGTACGGGCGCCTGGCTCGTCTCTGGGTCAGGTTCATGGATCCCGGGCGGGCGGGCTCACGTACTAGCCGGGCTGCCGACCCCAATTTCGACCCCGTCGGTTGCATGGCTACCTGGGTCACCAGACCTGTCTCCTGAGACGGCCGCGCAAGCGGGGATGTATTCAGAACGCAGCTGGACAGCACCATCAAGAAGCCCCGGGACTCCCTGGCCAACAGCATTGCCAACCGTATCGGGACCCCGCTCGACCTCGGCTTCAACTGGGACGCAATGGGCACCGGCCTCGCCAACAGCTTCGACCAGCTCCTGGCCACCCCTGCCTTCTCGGTCGTGCTCTACCTGGTCTCAGGTCTGCATCCCCATGAGTTCGCCTTCGCCGACGCACCGAGAGAACCTGGGAGATTCGACCGCAATGCCTGGTCTCACCTGGCTTTCCTCTATGACACTTCCCTGGGCCTGGACGCTAGCAACCTGGTCTAGAGAATGCTCTGGGCGTGCTTTGTCTGGGTCGTGGGACTGGGCGCCCCCTGGAAGGACCGGGACCTGGCCCTCCCAAGCGAGCCCCGGCCGCCTCCGCCCCAGACCCGCGGGTGCAGCTCCCGACCCAGATCGAACCGGCAGTTCCGAAAGCTTGGGGCAGGGGGACCCGCGAGTGCTGGAGACATCGCCAACACCCTGGCATGGGCACCCTGGCGCACCTCCTCCAGCCAGCTCCGTCAGGCCAGCCATTCAGAAGTGGCATGATAGACGCGGACGGAGATCCCATGGACTCCCCCCAAAGCCCGTTCCCTGCTGATAATCATGATGCTCATGATCAGGGAGCCAAGGGGTTTCCTATGGCCGTTCCCCCCCTCGCAGAGGGCACTGGAGACGTCATTGAAGCGGTGATTGGCATGTGCGTTTCCTGGCAAGACGCCCACCTGGAGTTCCGTCAGAAGTTTGCCGAGATTTGGGGGCTCCCTGGACGATGTAAGCGCGCTGCGCGGCCGCGTCGAATATGCTCTCCTCCACGTCTCCAGGCCGGTGACTTTTGCACGAAATCATGAGACAGCAAGAGACGCCGATTGCCCGCAGACCTCGAAGGACTTGGAGAAGCATGACTTCAAGGTGGAAGCGCCCATGGCTGTCCTGGAACAGATCGCACCCGCGGCAAACATCGCAATCCTGGCCAACGCCGAGTCTTCCGTCTGTGCGCTCCACCGCGAGCTGGCAGATCTGGCACTGGGTTAGGAGATCCAGACGACGATCTTGCCCTGGACTACATCGGGGGAGGCGCGGCCCTCTCGAGGAAGGGCCCGGGGGCGCCCCAACTTGGAAAAGGCGCAGAAGGGCGCGAAGTTCACTTGCGATGGCCGCGGCAAAGCCCGCCTCAAGTCGACGCAAGGGACTTGGGGGGACGACGAGGCCCGGGAGCTCCTGGCGCAGAACCGCCCACAG